GTTGAATACAGCTTTGGCATCCCATCCATACAGTGTCTGCCATGACAGCAGTCCATTTTTCAGTCATCTGTATGGCTTTACTCCATCTCCTTCAGACAAAGGTGGTGTTCTGGGTACACAGGACTTGGAAAAAACAGCTAGGAAGTTTTAGGTAAAACAAAACAAAAGGAAGTTTTGGGGTTTAAGAGTGGGGTTTAAAAAATGATTGTTTGCTTTAAAAGTTTATTTTTAAATAGCAAAACTTTACCAGAGTATGATACCCCTCCCCATGATCCCCATAAGCAGTTCTGTTCCTTGCTTCTATGTCTGTTTAGCAGCTATGTGTTTCTTTATTGTAGAGCAAAACAATTGCCTTCAAGTGTCCATATTCCATTAAGCATATGGAAAAGTATTCAGCCCTTTGTTTTGTGCAGAATGAATTTATTTGTCACATAAGTATTAATTTAGAGTAGTCATGGAACATTAGTGCTTGGTAATTGTCCACATTTTTCTGGGGTTTATTTAACTGATGGAGATTATTTCAGAAATGTGCAACTTCTTTAACTGTTACATTCATTGCTGAGTGCCCCTTGCAGAGGCTGCAGGCTCACAGCAGTGGCAAGATGTTGCCTCATCTTCGTCACGCAAGATTTGGGGATTGCTGATGCATATCCACTGAGGGAGAGCGGGAAAAAATCACCCCAAGGCCCTTTTCATAGCAGCCAACACTGGTTTTGCCAGTTCCTGAGGTTTTCCCTTCCCAAGAGCCCAGCCCAATTCCTCAGAGAGGATGCTGCTCCTCTGCCATGGGACCACAAGGCTTCTTTCTCAGCACTGCATCCAGCAGTGGCATCGAAGACAAGCACCTGCCAGGCTCCAAGGCACACACAGGAGAATGGTGCTCTGCCTCACTAAAAACCATGGGCTGAGGTTTCTTTCCCTCGGTTTTCAAAGGAAACTGCCAGCTCCTTCCCCCAGACTTTGGGATGAGACTGCAGAGCTCCAGATGAGCTGTCACTCCTTTCAGCAAAACCCAAGAGGCGAGAAAATTAAGCAGATCTCTTTTCCCCAGTGAAGGACTGTTCCAGAGTGACCAGCTCCTGGGAAACCACCAGAAGTCTCCCAGTGTCCCACAGGCAGTGTGTGTCATGTCTCAGATGCTGGTTTCTCTCATTTTGCTGATTGTGTTCCTCTGCTGTCAAGTGTTAACCACTGCCCCACGGTTCTGCTCCACAGGCGGCTGAAACCAGGTAAATTGCACCAGGATTTCAGCTCTCCCAGAGGGGTCATCCACTGCACTGGCAAAGACCTGCTCTGTAAAGCCTTTAGTAGCTTGTATGCCCCCAGCACCACCATGAGGCCCTTCAGCTCTTAGGTGGCATCCCTCTGTTAAAGAGCAGCAAAGGAAAAGCCTCTCCTGGGTGGGGGAGGAAATGAATCCAGGCTCACGTGCTTCGTCAGAGATGCAAATTGCTCTACAAATTCTGAGCATTAATTATAGAGCCTGGGCTTCTTGCTGGAGCCACAGGGAAAACAGGCCCCTGGCTCACATTAAATTTAATGGTGTTTGGACACCCAATTCCCTTAGCCTATTTGAAAACCAGAATCCCACTTTCTCCAGATATATATGTGGTCAGGTGAAATCCCTCATCCCACTGCAGACAGCGACATTTTTACAGCATTGTGTTCAGCAAAGCCAGGAGCTCTCCCTCAGGTGGTGGGGTGTTTTCCTCATGCTATCTATGGGATTCAGGAAAGAAGTGGGGAGTGACATGGTTAGCACAGGTCTGGACAGAGAGCTCTATGGACAGGCTGAAGAACGCAGCTCTGGCACCATGGTTTCACTGCATTGCACCACACCAAGCTGAAGGCTGTCCCACTGCAGGGTCTGGGACATGGGCATGGAGAGCCCTGCATGCCCTGGATGCGAGCTGGACATGGGGACAGAGCTGCCTTGCTCCTGCACTGCTTCATCTCTCATCCACTGCCTCTAAAGAGCAGGATGTGGTGGTCTCTGCAAGGAGCAGACCTGTGAGGATACAGCTGCCTCTCACTGTGTTGTTGTAGAGCCAATGCAATGGCTCAGTGTGGGATGAGATAAGAAATAATGCAGTGGGGAAAAAGTCAAACCTTTGGGGAGTTAGGAGCAGAGGATGCCCCTGGCTGAGTGAGTTGTTCCTGGGAGACAGCTCCTGGAAGCCACATTATTTTGCAACATGCTGCACTGTGGGATATTGTTTTGCTAGAATTGTAGGTGTACAACAGTGAGAGGTGATCTCTGCCTGGGAGGGCTCACAGGAGCCAGACCTTGATAGAAGTATGGCTCTCCTAGTCCACAGATGGACCAGTGAGCAAGGACAGGCTTTAAGCAAAGCCATAAGGAGCTGCCTACTCTGTAGCCCAGTCTTTGTGCACAGGGCCAACCTCATGTTCAAACACCAGCTGCGTTTCCAGCTGCATGCATTTGGGGGGAAATTCTTGATCTTTTTCCCAGTGTTACCTCTTTGTTCAGGGTGGAGTTTTCCTATTCTGAGGGACTCCAGCATTTCTGCCTAATTTAGCACAGAGAAAATGAACAGCAAACCCTTCATATTGTTATACGCATTTTAGATGTCGGCCTCACAGTTTGATCAGCAGAGGCTCCAAAGGCTCGTAAACCTGGTAATACATAGTTCCAGGACTGCATCAAAGAAGTTCACAACCCTTTTGGGAGAAGCTGTGAGTACTGATGAAAGAGGGAACTTATTGTATATGTAAGAAAACCTCTTTCATGGCTTATGTATTAAGGCAGGCTCTGTGGCCCAGGGAAGATTGGGGCTGCTTTTAATTTACATCGCCCCTCACTTATATTAAGTCTTCGTCAGAAGAAAAATTAGTCAGATGTTTTCTTAATGACATCATTTTTTTTAATCCTGTTTCATTTTTTCCAGATGAGGCGGTGGAGATTATTAGAAATGAATTGAAACTAAATCTGGAACAGAGACTTTGATTCACTTCTCCCTCCTCCCCAGTAGAAATAAATTGGTCGGCTCCGTGCTCGGATGCCTTTATTAGCAGCCTCGACAGAAACCAGCCCCAGCGGCCTCGGCTGCAGCTTCCTGAGCTCGCCGCCGCCACGGCTGATGTCATGGCGAGAGGCACCAGGGAGTGACTTTGGTCACCCCATAATTTTGGTAATGGAAGGCCATGGCAACACAGGTGGGGAGGTTATGAGGTCTGAAATAGCCATGCCATCATCAGTTTGTCTTTCAGTGTCATGAAAGAAAACAGGGTCGATGCTGGTGGGTGTTTCTCTGGCAAAACCCTGGCCTGGGTCTGATGAGCCACCTGTTTTGGTGGCTGTGCATCTCCACAAAGCCTTTATGTGTGACAGGTTTTCACTGCCTGGTATTTCACACCACCAAGCCACAGAGTGCATTGCTACAGGAAAGTACTTTGAACTATAAATATTTCAGAAGGCATTTAATTTACTACCCATCAGCAGAAAGTGTTCAAAAAGCCACAAGGTTTACTAATTTATCAGAAAGACAGAGAAACACACAGAAGATCAAACAAAGACAAACATGCTTGTTAAATTGCTGAATAAGTCTGCAGACTTATATTACATTTCTGTGTGGTTTTGTTGATATGCAAGTATTACAAATAAATTAAAATGCACCTGAACTGTTGATAAGGCAGGGTGGGACTGAGATCCTGAGGTGCTGGTGGCGTGTTGAAACTGCTCAGACCATCATGTTTGTGGTTGTCTGTGCATGGAGAGACAGATCTTACATGCACTCACTAATGGCATATTTGGATAGTCTTAGTGTTGGGCCTTTGTAATTCCTTCCCTTAGATCAGCCCACGTCCCAGATCCTGACCTCCAAATCCCTGTTGTATTCTGTGCTCAGGGTGCAGCCCCATGGGGCGCACATCCATCTCCCTTAGCTTTGCCAGAGCACCCAGTCAGGGACAAATGCTGTCCCTGCTGTGACCTGTGTGTCAACACTAGCTCTGCTTCCAGCAGTCTGTGAGTACAGAGAGAGCTAATGCAAAGCAGATTTTTCTCTTCTATTTTGCCTAATGACAGCTCTGCCTCCTTTGGTGTCTATGTCAGATTTTCTGCTTCTCAGGTCAGGGTGAGTAACTTTTTCTCCTTTGCACCCTCTGTGGTTTGTCTAAGAGGCTGGAGGGTACCGTAGAGCACATGTCTGGGAGAAGTCTGCAGACTTTCTCTTCCATCCTTGTTCATCCTTCAAAAAACCGCTTAAGCACTAAAACGTGCATGTGACGTTTTTTTGTTACCTGCTGAATCCCTCAGTATTTACTGACTTTATTCTCAGGTAGCACTTGGCCTGGGGAAGATCTGAGGGATTTAAGAGAGGTGGCCCCCAGAAAGCATGCAGTAAAACCTCTCATGAACTTTTGCCCTCTGAACCGTACCACCAACCTGTCAAGGAGGTTTGTGCTGGCCATGATGGACGCAGGAGGTGGGGCTGCTGCGCCAGCACGGGCCAAGCCACGCGTGCTGGGCTGGGCAAAGCACAGCTCAACATCACATAAGTTCTCCTTGCAACATTTCCATCTTTGCCCTGTCTAGGGCTTTCTGCACATGACAGCACTAAACATCTGGATATCCAGGGGCAGCGAGGAGCTTGCAAACCCCACGTTTTCCTCAAATATCGTTGTGTGGCCAGCCTCCCTGTGCGAGGAGATGGGGTGGGATCTCTAGCACAGCGTGTGTTCCATGCCTCCTCTATGTGCAGGCACTGCCTAAAGCAGCTCATGCCCCTTTCCTCAGCAGCCCAGTTGGGGTGAGCCACTTTGCACAAATACATGTTTAATGCAATATTGGTGCATGTCCACCAGAAGCTTGGGAACTTCAGACTCTGCATATGCTAGGAAGAGAGGATTGTCCCGCTATGTGCTTGAGCTCCTCTCTTGTGGGCAAAAGCGGTGGGGCAGGACAGAGAGGGGTGGCAAGCAGTTGTGCCTGTTCTGGCTGGCTGTGAGTGACAGCATGTCTCTGTTTTCCTTCCCAGGCCTCCTCCTCTGAGCGGCAGCCCTGTCATCTCCGACATCTCCCTCATCCGCCTGTCTCCGCACCCTGCCGGGCCTGGCGAGTCGCCCTTCAGCCCCCCTCACCCCTACGTGGCACCCCACATGGAGCACTACCTCCGCTCTGTGCACAGCAGCCCCACGCTCTCCGTCATCTCCGCTGCCAGGGGCCTCAGTCCTGCCGACGGTAAGACACTGTGCTACTGGTACTGCAGCGATTTTGTAGCTCACCAGGACTGAAATTCCCTAAAACCCAGGGATTTACAGCTGCAAAGGCTCGGCAGCTGCTCTCTGAAGTGGGAGAGCTGTCTCTTTTTCTTTTTGTTGTTTTTTTTTTTTCCCCTTTAACTACACATTTGTTTTGCATCATCGCACTGAGAAAGCAGAGCGTGAGAATAGCTATTACTGCTGGATCATATTATAAATATTTTGCTTAAAGTACGTTCCTTTCTGCAGCGCTCTCTTTCTCTCTTAGGAGCTTCCCTGTTCTTATGTCTCTGCTGAGACCTAGCTTTCCCCAGAGAGGGTCACAGTTTTTCTGGCTGCCTGGCCTGGCTGAGACTGATGTTGCAGAGGAGACAACGCCAGCTGGGTTATCCCCTGTTGGCTTTGTGTCTGGGGTCAGCGTGGCTGCTGAGTGAAGGCGAGGGGCCATACTTTCTTCCTCTTTACTCCTGAGCTGCTCTGCAGCAACCTTCAGGGAAGGCAAGGATGTGGGGGGAGTTGGTGCTGGGTGCCGACAGCAGTGATCATGCTCTCTGAGCCCTATCAGACCCCATGTTGGAGAGCTGGGGACAAAGACATCCAACAGGGAAAGGGGAAAATGCACATCATTGCTTTCACTTGGCTAGGTGTAAGTCATGCCTTACTTCGTCAGAAGAGCTTCATTACACCATTGCAGGTGGCTGGCTCAGTGCCCAGGGAATAGCTGGGGACCTGGTCTCTGCATGCCCAGCAAATCCCAACATCCCTCGGCTCCCAAGCTGCTGCAGGGGCCAGCGGCCCTTCAGCACTGCAAAGCAAAGTGTACCAGAGAGCAACAAGGCCCCTGGATTAGTATCTGGCAGCATAAAACTATCTTGTATGGCTAAAACAACATCACTGTAGTGATCGGGACATGCATATGTCTTCTTCTTCCCTCCCCTTAAAACGTAATTTTGAACTCTCAGGCACCCGCCAGAGAGAGTCTGATGGCTTGTGTGTGTGTGTGTGTGTTCTGCCCTGTCCTCTCCTTCCAAAACAAGTTTCATTGTTTGCTGTGGAAGAAAGGCATTGCATTTTGGGTTGCTTTTCTTTTCCTCCTTTTTTTTTCCTCCTTGTTTAAGGTGGTGGTAAATAAGTTAATGGGGCAAGCGGGTGGGGAGGCAGGTTTGAAAAATTACAGCTGGGAGAAAGTGAGTGTAATTGGCTTTGGCAGCCAAAATGGTTTTATGCTGCCAGACACTAAACCTAGTTCTATGCATTAGACCTTGGCTTTAATTTCCTCACGCTGCTATCGGGAACTGGGCTGCATTTGTCTTTCCTTCCTAATAGGCAGGGATGTTAATGCTGACAGGGTTACTGCTGTCGGCAGCCTGGGCCCTCTCCCCCCCTCCCAGGGGTGCTGGCTGCGTCCGAACGGGAGGATTATTAGAAGGGGGAACGAGAGATTGTTTATAAATTTGCGGAAATGGAGGAATGCAGAGGCCCCAGCCTGGTCTCCTTTGTCCACAGAAGCACGCCCAGGCGCACGTCACGCGCGCCCTACGCGGAGCCGTGCGGCTGGGGCTGGCGGGGGGCGTGGGGGGAGCCGGGGCCGCCAGCGTCAGCTCCAAGGTCTAACACTGCAGTGGGAACCTTCTCCCCATGTTTCTCTCCTCGCCTGTGGCTCCAACAGTGGCTCATGAGCACCTGAAGGAACGAGGCCTCTTCGGGCTGCCCCCGCCACCACCGGGAGCCAACCCTGCTGACTACTACCACCAAATGACGTTGATGGCCGGCCACCCAAACCCCTATGGGGACCTCCTCATGCAGGGCGGGGGAGCAGCCAGCACAGCCCATCTCCACGATTACCTCAGCCCTGTTGATGGTGAGTAGCAGCTTGGGTTCTTCCTGGCATGGCTGAAATTTTGGGATGGGATGGGACTGCCCTCCAGGTGGAGGCTGCTGAGTCTGGTCACTGTGCCCTGCTGGAACCTTTGGGCACTGCACTATAATTTTTGGCTCAAAAGGTCACCTCCTTCCATAAGTATATATAAAATATACATAACCTAAAATAGGTGCATTCTGGTCTCTTAGGGAGGGTGGCATGGCTGCAGCATGGGTAGGAGATGGGCTGGTCCAGCAAGCTGGGCATTGCTGCTGTCCTGCTGCATTGACCATGGGTGACCAGAGCGTGCCTAGGGACAAACTACATCTCTAGTAGTTCTTCCCCATCCCACCCTGTGTTTTGCCTGCTTGGTGTCTGGGGTGAAGTTGGGCCACGTGCATGCAAAGCTGTGCTAGGCACAGTGGACATCTCATCTTGGTTAGGACCTCTCAGGTCCACAAGGAGAGAAAATACCTGAATGGGGAGATAGAGTGGAAAGAATATAATAGTACTTTGAGCAAGGAAATTTAAAAAGGCAGGAATGTGGTATTTGTGATATCATTGTGTGTTATAAACTCAGAAAACTCTCTCTCCTGGCTACATGAAGAAGAAATAGAGTCATGTTAGGCACTGCAGTGCTGAGTCACCCCTGTGGCCTGACTGCTGTTCTGGGAAGAGTCTGTCTGGAAGCATATATGAGGTCCAAATGGTTTTTAGAGCTGTTAGAAATGCCTTTCCTTTCACTTCATTCTACATCTTGCAAGAACTGGGGTTGTACAGATATTACAGAGGGCAGTTTGAGGATTACTTCTGCTGCAAGAAGGAGAAATCTCAGCTCAACTTTCAGATTCGGCATCTGTTTCCTGGGATTCTTTGGATTTGCCTGTGGACCATTACAATTTTTGGAGGGGAGATCTGCATCATTTCATTACTGCTTCAAAGTTTCTGTTGTTGAGCTTTTAAGATGAAAGACTTTGTGGTCTTGCTGCTTCATAAAGTGACTGGTTTAGAATGATAAAAGCTGTTCTGGCTGTTCAGTGATGGGAGTTTACAGATACTTCTAATGGAAAAAACAGTTTCTCATCTGTGGCTGCTGTGGAAGTTTTACCTGAACAGTCATTTTGTGCTGCCAGTTCCTAGATTAATTTGGAACCTGGATCCCAGTCAGAGAGAGCACAAGCTGCTTGGTACCATCCTGCCCTCTAACACTCGAAATATATCAATATATCTCAGGCTTTTCTGCTGCAAAGCATCTGGTCAGTAAGACTGGTCTGTATTCTCTCCCAAGGGTTAATGACTGTGGTTATAGCAGATGGATGCAAACGAGCCCTGCCAAGTTCTCCTCGGGCTCATGAACAAGACTCCTTCCTCCTTGCCTCCTTATTAGTCCATCTCTGACCAGCAGTGCCTCACTGAAGTGCCAGATAAACAACCAGTGAGGGAAGCAAACACAACTGTTTTCATGGTGGTATAGTCTGGCTCCCAGCACACCAAGATGCTCATCCTCTGGTTTGCTGAAGATCAATCTTTATCTGAGGTACTGAGATACTCCCCTTGGCAGAAGACTCTCATATTGTTTGCCTTCTCCTGAAAACAGCTCTAGAGTGAATCATGTATCAAAGGTCTCAGTTTCCTGCAGCCAAGCTCATAACCATGATTCACTGCGGAGCCAGGGCTCACCAAGAATTTATTACGATCTTTCGAAAAAGCTTTGTTGGTGATTAACTGGAAAACCTTTTCTGGGCCTTCACGTGTTCTGCGTGAGATGGAAACTTGAACAAACATGAGAATGTGGCACGAGACACTACTTTTTAAGAATGTGTAAAAGAGCACCAGTCCAGTACCAGTCCATGTGCCTGGGTTTATCCATCATCCAGAGAAAAGAGAAAATTGTACATTATTAAAGCAGAGAGTAAAATGGATGGCTCTGCAATGCTCGATGAGGAGACAGTGTCTCCTTCTCTTTTTAGAAAGTTATTGCAAAAATTTGAATCAGCTGGGCCTAAAAGTAAATAGTTGAACAGATAATTTAATAAAGCATCCTCTTATGGTGTTTTTCTGAGACAACAATATTAGTAGCATGCATAAACCCCAGCGAGTCACCGCCTCGCTGCATCTGTCATTCAGAGAGCCCTTTTCTTCCCAGTCTGGGAACCTAGAAACTTTACAAGAATTAGTTTGCTGAAAATGCAGGTAGCTCTTGTTAAACCACATGCAGCACCATCATTCATCTGTGATAACACTGGCACCTGCAAAAGGAAAAGCAGGAGATAAGCATATATTAAATCTGGCCTTTTCAGTGTCACATCACTTCCAAATATCTGCAGGTTGGTCCATGGGAGCTGTGGACACGGGCTATGGCGGTTCTTCCACAGACACATACCTGTGCCTTTCTGGTTCCTGTAATTGCGTTTCTCAGAGAATTTCTCAGCGCCTTCATGGTTTTTGTCAGTGTTTTTCACTCCATCACATGTCTGAGGTCAGGAAAGGTAATAGGGTGTGAATGTCAGCTGGAGCTCGTTGGTGCCAACCCTGTGCCAGGTCGGCTGAGTTGGGCTGCCCAGAGCTGCATCTCTGCTGGGTTTTCAGCGTACAGCTAGAAGAAGTTAAAGCTAAAGAAGTTAAAGACCAGATTTAAGTTTTATGTACCAGATTACTATGGTGTTCAGGCCAGTCCCAGTGGAGACTAAACAACTGTTCAGTTGGTTCTCCTGTTCTATTTCCTCATCCAAATACGGACTCAAAATCCAAGAGTGGAGTTTGAATCTAGTCTTAATCCTATTTTCTGGAAAGCCTATTCTTTCATATCAAAAGTTAATCACTTTCTAATGTCACAACATTGCTGATGGGATACGTTTGGGACTATCTACAGGTTCTATTCACCAGACCAAAACAATCTTTTGCATTTCTTTTTAAGAAGTAGTGCTACATGGTAGATTATTCCAGGTGATGAAGTGATTGTGTAAGAGCATCCCTGAGGCAGGAAAGACTGGTGGGGAACACAATGACCCTGGAGATGGCTACCACTTTCATGTTTAGTACTTCCAGCTGCTTTTTCCCTTAGGCACAGGGCTTTCTGTGATTACCCTCAGCCCTTCAGGAGGAACCATTTTCTCTCAAGAGGAGTCCACCCACACTGACTTGATGCTGCTGCTGTTCTAGCCCTGTACACCGGCAGATCTCAAAGTGCTGTACAAAGCAAAGCCATTTCATCACTGGCGACCACAAAGGAAAAGGAGACCAGTGAGCTGAGTAGTGGCAGCTTTAGGAGCAAGATCTTTGGAATAAGGCCAGGGTGGAAATTAGAGATCATCTTTAAGTCCACCACTTTGCACAGCTTTGAGAGACTGATTGGGTTGTACAGGCTGAATAAGGGAATGGGGGAAAAAACATCTTGAGCACAAGTTAGGTCCAAGGTAGACCCTCGTGTCAGGAAGGCTGGATAGATGTGTTTGTGCAACAGTCACCAATAGCAGGGATGACCCTGCAGTGCTGTCATTGCATTTTGCCCATTTCTGGAGCTAGTGGGGGGACCTCTACCCTGTTTTTTGCTGCCTGGTGCCACAAATGGTGTCACAAATGTCTTGATTCACAATCAGCAGTTTGAGAGGGAAAAGGCTTTGTTCAGTGCAGCATGGCCAGCAGCTGGCACAGTTGCCGGGGATGTGGGCAAATCACAAAGCAGGACTTTATTTCCCCAAATCAAACAGTGATTCAGCTTCACCAGCCTCTTTCAGCCGGTGTTGCTGGAGCCTTTCTCCTTGAAGGAAGTGATTTAATAGCCAGCAGGGTAAGGAGCAGGGCTGGCAGTGCAGCTGGGTGGTGACTGCAGTCCGCAGGCACGTGGCCGGGAGAGGTGAGCTCGGGACTCTGTCCAGCAGGAGAGAGCAACTGAGGAGCAACTGCTCCATCAGGACAAAAGCAGAGAGCCGAGCCTCAGGGGGACCTAGGAAGGAAGTGCTTCCCCTGGGGCTGGAGGGACAGCAGCCCTGGGTTTGTAGGCTGGATGTGCTGGATCACAGATGACTTCCCAACCAAGCCAGCTGTTGGCTACTCTGGGTAGACGGCGCGCCCTGTAGTCGCTTCCTTAAAAATTCTCAAAGGCTTATTTTTTTTTTCTGTTTTCTTTGTCCCAGCATAGAATGGAAACTTGCTGAAATCACAGAAAAGGTTCAGAGAATGGGAAACAATTTCCCACCCATTTCTAGCCAGCAGTTCTGTTTTCCTCCCCAGAAAAATATGTGCAGAAGAGAGCAAAAGTCCCAGAGCACCCCATAAGTGCTGTGTCTGGAATCCTGCTGCACTCTGGTTTCTAAAGAATTCAATTTACATATGCAAGTTGGGTCGACTAAACAGTTACCTTGTGGGTTGGGAGTAGAAGAATGCAGCCTTGTCTTTCAGCTAGGATTTGAGGGAAGCATTAGTATTCCTTGAACTGCAAAGTTGATCAGCCTATGGAGAGAAGAAAGAAGAGTCCCAGGGCAGTGTCTGGTGCCAGAACAAATGTCCAGCATCTGCTGCAGTCTAAAAAAGAGGTGTGTTGCCTTTGCAGAAGGAAAGAGGGGAATAAGGAACTGGTTACACAAAGAGTGTTTGTAGTTTATTGCCGCTTATCAGTTACGGGACCATCCTGTGTTTTTATAGGGCCCTTGGTTTTAATTTGATGGTGGGAGTGGGGGGGATATTTGTGTACACTTTGGATGGAGTTTTCTTGGTGAATGGTGAGGGAGAGGGACCATTTTGATAACACAGTATTTATCCTGGGCCTTGGCCAGGGGATGGAGGGGAAGCAGTGGCTCTGGCCAGGTTTCAGTGAGGCGGGAGGGGGGGCAGGCAGGGTGTGAGCCATCTGCAGCCCATGTGCCTTATAGGCTCGCATGTTAGGGAGCACATGCCCCTGATGATCCTGTGCTGTTGTGATCACAGCAATATGTTTGTCTGTAAAGGGTTGCCTGAAATTTCCTTACCCTGGAGGAGCCTCCAGGGAGCTCCCACTGAGTGCCTGGCGTTTCCTTTCAGGAGGGCTTTGCTGCCACTATTCCTAGTGTGACATAAGGTCTGAATTCTCACTCCAGAAAAAAACATCTCTTGTAGAATCCCTCTGATAGCGCACCGCCACAGAAGTGGTCAGAGCAGGAACCTCTGCTCCCACCTCCCAAACAAGTTGGGATCTGATCCTGGCCTTGGGCACTGGCATCAGGCACCAGAGTTGGTCCACAAGCTGCCACATGTAAGAGCTGACCATTAATCCTGTTGTGGATTAATCGAAATTTGGGAGGAGTATCCCAGTTTCTGAGCAACTTGTGGATGTGATAATTCATAGGCACCACAGGAAAGTGCCAAGGATACTCTTTCTTCTAGCAAAGAAATTTAGACTTCCCTCCCAGCTCTGAGCTGCCTGGGGAACTTCCCCCGACATATTTTCCAAACATAAAAAATTCTTTAAACTAATCCTGTTCATTTGAAGAAGTCAGCATTTTTAAAGGGGAGAGTAGAGAGGAGTGTTAGTGATAAATGTTCCCAAAGTTTTCCATCTGTGTGTCTGAAAAATGGATCCCGCCTTTAGTTACTTCTCTGGGCACAGTCCCTGCTGAACAGTTGTGTGTGATTTTTCTTTTGGAGCAACACTGGACCTCAGGCAGCAGAGGGCTTCGTTTATGTGCCCCAGTGGCTGTCAGTCAGCCTGTGTTGGACACCTTGCTTTGTACAGCCACACAAATGCTGACCACTGCTGCTGCCTGGTACCATTTAACATTCATGCTCCATGTCCTCAGATAAGAAGATTCAGATCAGGCAAACTTTATTATTTAGAACAATCCCAGTGTTGTTAATCTGCTTTGAAATAATAATTTTGAAAATATCCTAAACTCCTTTTTCATTTCCCAGATGATTCTCTTCCCAGGCACCTTGGGCAGGCTGTCATTAAGAGAGGAATTGTTCATCCATAGCACAATTTTAGGTCACAGCTTTCTGTGGAAGCCTGCAAGACCTAAGAGGCTTTTGTGTAAAGCATGAGCCCAACCTGTTGGATCTGCTATCAAACATTTCAGTACTTGCAGGATCTAAATTAGAGTGGGCACTGACACAATGCATATTACTGGTTTTGGGCTGGAGAATTCCCAGGAGAGCTTGATAATCTGACATCTTTCCACAGAGTTTTACACGGGCGAAAAATGACAAACCTGTGTGCAGCAGAGAGGAGTGCCCACATCGTCTGCACTGCTAAAGCCCAGATTTCTGTTGGACATCAGGTCTTCTTCCCTCTGCAAATTAATGGGGACCAATGGCTGATCCAGCACTGTGAGCATAAATCATGTGAAGGAAGAGCGAGAAATGAGTACAAGACTTTTCTTTCTATTTAGTAATTTATCAAGGGAAGTGGCACATTAATAAACAGATCTCCCTTGAGATGTGGGAGTAACAGAGATAAATATGACTGTCAAATCTGGCCTGCTTCCTTCTGTTAGAGAAGGAGGAGACTGTGGGAATGCAAATGCAGGAAGCAATATCTATATCTGGAAATACGCATATTATTTGTAGGACAGAAATCCTGACAACTCATCTGAGATGGGGCCCCATCGCACTTGGTGCAGTATGTACAGAATAAAATACAAGCCCTGTCTAAAGGAGCTCATCTAAATAGATGACACTGGGAAATAGGGATACAGAAAGAGGCAGCAACTTGCTCAAGGAAGTGTGGCTGAAGAGGACTGGGAGGAGCACCCAGGTCTTTCCAGGTTGTGGTGCATGTATTGAATCAAGATTCCTTATGGCCAGAGGACCATTATGATCTAGGCCCAAGCAGCCTTCATGTTGTTTGTTCCAGGGCTCTGGCAGGGCTCAGATTTCAGGAACCAGATGTGAAGTTTGGGAAGTCTCCATTTCAGTCTTTTGGGCCAGCCTTTGCTGAAGCAAGTTCATTTGCACAATTTGGTTTTGTCCACAGTGGCTCTACAAAGTGGCTGCATCTCTTCTAGCTTCCAGGGAAGTGTCACGTAGAGCTAGACTCTTCCAGCTGCAAGCATTTGGGAAGTTTGAGCCTAGTCCCTCCAAATCGTGGAACAGCTTTAACACTCACAGGGTGTTTTTTATAGACTGCTGCCCTTTGTGTTTGCTGTCTGATCTTTGAGTCGTGTTTTCTAGCACCTCTGCTCCATGAGGCTGCTCAGTGTAGTTGTAAAAAATATTGTAACAATGTGTTGAATATATGTGCAACAATCTGATTTTTAAGAGAAATTCCAAGTATTGTCAGTTTTTCGGTAAATGCATTGCATCTAACAACTCTTGAAGCTGCTTAAGTGTAGAACAAAAGTCACAAGAGTGCTTGGTTCAAGTACCAACTTAGCCTTGGATTTCCAGTGAGGTGTTGGGCAAGTCATTTATCTTGTGCAGTGAGGGTCATTATGGGCACTGAGGATGCTGATACTAAACCCCATTGATTACACAGCACCCAGGCATGGTAATGGCAGAGCCAATTTGGTACACGGGTGGGTCATGTGCAAGCTGGGACACTGCGACCCAGCCACTGGTCTCAATGAAATGCTGACACAGACTCCTGTGAGCCAACACAAATCAAGGAATTGTTTGATCACACCAGCAGGACACATCTTACCTCCTTCTACATCCCAGTCACTCTCTCACATACCAGCGCTGTCGTCATTATGGAATGTTCATGCTCTTACAAAGTGCCAAGCTTGTATTTGGTGATATGCAGCCAAAATCAGTGCCTTCAACCAGCTAGAGGAAAATGGCTCATACTGCCTGTCTGGGCAGTTCAGTGTTTTATTCACAGCATTTAATAAGATAAACTCATAGCATGCTTTCTGGGGAGACATCACCGGAAAAGTCAAGTGGTGATACATTGCTGTGCTCATCAATTGAAGGAGCTGGAACAGCTGAGCCCTCCTGCACCCCTGGGTGGATGGTAGGGATTGCCAGCCAGGACCCATTGCCAAGTGCTATATGTTACCCTCAGGTTTTTATTTTTTTTAAATACACAATCCAAACACTGCTTTGCTTTGGAGGGATGAGTCATTCCAGGCAGGGTTTGGATCTAGTACCCTGGTACAGAGGAAGATTGTGGTATGGCCCATCTGCAACTCCCTTCCACGCCACCTTAGAGATCTGCAGGTGGGTCAGGCCTGGGCAGAGTTTCCTTTGGGTGAAGTAAGTCGTTCCAGTTAGCAGTGCTGAAACACTGAGGGATGCCAAACTTTTACAGTAGTAACCCATCATGTGTTGCAGATCCATAAATGGGCCTGGCAGGGTTGGAAATTACTTCATGCCTGAATGATTGACAATTGCTAATAGGGTCCAGGCACTGGCAGGTCCCCTCAGAGGGGGAGAGCTTGAACTTTGTGCCTGAGCTGCCAAATTGGTTTTCTTAAAACTCTTAATTTACTTTCAGGGTTTCTGGAGCCTCGCCTCCTTCATTAATTGGATGGTCAGCACTGTGCTCATGCTCGTTTGGTTTCCGTTCCCCCACGCACAGGCACACACTCACCATTTGCAATGGTCGCCCGGCTTGGATGTGCAGCTCCCCTGGCCTGCTGCTCCTGACACCGCGTCAACAGGCATGGCTGCACTCATGGAAACCTTGCAGGCCTTCTCCCTTTTAAGTTAATTTAGTGCCCATGAAAGGGGGTGATGGACAAGATTCTGTGTCCCCTGAGGACAGCAAAGCAAGCGGGCATTCATGGCGCTGCCCAACCCCTGTGATTCAGCGCCCAGAAGAGAGGAGACCTCCCATCAAAGGGCACTTGGTCTCTGAGCTGCTCCTGGGTCCTGAACATCCCACAGCAATCATGAGTGCAGCAGTTCTCAGCACTTCCAGCCCGCCTGTAGGAAGGGAGCAGCCCTTTGGTCTTGTCTGACAAAGCCTCTCTTTCCTGCAGTGTCCCGGTTTTCGAGCCCGCGGGTGACTCCAAGATTAAGCCGGAAACGAGCCCTGTCTATCTCCCCGCTCTCTGATGCCAGCATTGATCTCCAGACAATGATCAGGACCTCCCCAAACTCTCTTGTGGCATATATCAACAACTCCAGGAGCAGTTCAGCAGCGAGTGGCTCCTACGGCCATTTATCTGCCGGGACAATCAGGTAAAGCTCTGGGATCGGCTCCATTCAGCTGAGGAACCATCTGCACGAAAGAAGGGATGATCCTTCAGCAAGGGAGAGCTTCCCTTCCTTGCAGCCTCTGCTTTTGTGCATCAGGGCTGTGTAGCATAGTAAATCAAAGCCCCCATCTGGTATTGCATGTGGAAGGGTATTTTGTGGCATTTGGGGTGGGGTTTCTTTGGATGGATTGGGGTTATTGGCTACCACGTTTCCAGTAATTACAGTATGATCATGCCTCCCTGCAAGCAGAAACAGATAATAAATTTATCATAAAAAATGCTCATTGTGAGCAGTTTGACTGGTTAAGAAACACTCTGATTTAAGAGATTGCCCCAAAGTACTCTCCAAATTACTGGCCCACATTTAGAAAAAATGTTGCCTGGGTGCACAGAAGAGCCTAATTCTAAAAGCATATTTAAACCAAATCTAAACCCTTGAGTAAAGTTTTGTTCAAATCTTAATTAAAAAGCACTTACATTAGGCGGCTGACTGTTGTCAATCCCTACTGTGATTGCTTCACCCAAGTTTCACAATGTTATTATTCTTTTTGTTACTTAACTGTTAAAAATGTTAGATCTAATTAACACTGATGTTGCAAAGCAGAGGGTTACAAAGATTATGCATGCTTAAAACTTGTGGGGGAAAACAGAGATGTTCTTATTAATAAGTGTAGCATTAATTATGTAAGCTATTTTATCCAGCAGCATAATTTAGAAATTGACTGTAAAATCAAACATAAGGCTGACATAAACAAATTGCAAGTTCTTATCTGGTAATCATATTTTTTTCTAGTCTTTTTACCTGTTGTCATTAGCTGCACATACCTGTAGCATCTCAACTTATACTCAGACGTTAAGAGTAATACCTTGTATTTTTAACCAGTCAGTGGAGTCCAGGGACTGACCTAATGGTCAACTTTCAGCCTCCAAGGGAATAATCAACTAATAATAAAGAATTTGAACCCCTTCTCAGTGTTCTAAAAATATATCCTAAATGTCAGGATTTGTAAAATGGGTAACATATATATAGCAGCATAACTGCCAGAAATTTGGTATGAAAAGACTTTTTTGTTATTATTTTAACAGCATCTTGGAGGCACAAATGAAATAGTCTCTCCAAAAGCAAAATTGGTTATTAAGCGTGTTTCTAATTATGGCCCTATTTTCTGAGCACACACACCTTGGGCAGTTTTTGTGGTGAAAATACCATGAGGGTAAAGGTTCAGGGCAGCCACTTCTTGAAGGTGGCAAATAATGAATTTTTGGGCAGTCTATGGTTCGTGAATCATACATGTAGAGTTACCACAGAGCATCCTCTGTGCTTCTCTCTCTCTGCCCAGTGGACTTGCCCCTGGGAGTGAATCCCTTTTTTCCAAAAGGAGAGCTTTGCTTTTACTGCTCCCCACTGCTGCATCCTCTCTCAGACCTGTTGCCCCACTTACTGCCCAAGCAGCCAGGAGCGAGTGGTGTTCCTGGTCACCGCTGACCTAGATTGGAGATGAACCAGTGACCTACTTAGGAAGGGTGACATGCTTAGCAGTCCCCTGAGCCAGCACTCCCCTCACCTGAATGCAGAGTAAATTGCGTGGTTTTGGACTGTGTTAAGTGTGGATACTTATTCATCCCTGCTGTAATCTGGGCCAGGTGAGCCAGGTGATGCTTGTTTTTCATATCCAGGTTAGCATAACCCCAAAGCTGCAAGTTTGCAAAAGAGGTCTGCCTGGGAAAACCCAGGAGCCTTAGGGGCTGCAAAGCCAGATTTGCCCAAGTCCCATCCTCTTATGAACTCCCAAGGTCTTTTGTTGGGCTTTTTTACAGAGTAAGCAAAGAAATCAAGATCAGTGTAATGCTTGTGTGAAAATGATTCACAAGTTTGCTGAGGCAGGTGCAAGTCAAATCGTGACTTTGCGGTAAAGCAGGCAGTCAGGCTTATCCTGGCATTGGAGGCATCTATCTGGGCATTACAGCCTGGTTCCTGGAGTCTCCTAGAAGCCAAATTTGAATCAGTGACTGCCTAATATGGTAAATATTGTTTAAAATAACTCCTCATCATTTCTCTTTCTCTTTCTCCTGTTGCTGCAGTCCTGCATTCAGCTTCCCCCACCCGCTTAACCCCGTGACATACCAGCAGATCCTGACCCAGCAAAGAGGCCTGAGCTCAGCCTTTGGACACACTCCTCCCCTGATCCAGCCATCCCCAACCTTCCCCACACGGCAGCACATGGCAGTCATCTCCGTGAACCCATCACCAGCCCAGAGCAGCAGCAACAACAACTGCATCTCCGACTCCAGCCAGGTAGGGACAGCCATCCTGCATGGCACGTGTGGAAATGGAGGCACCTTCTCCATGGGACATGGACTTCCCCTCATGGTGATTGTGGGAGTTTAACAATTCTCTTTTGTACTCACTCTGTCCTTTTTTGTTGCTTTTTCCTTTTCCTGGCAAGTGTTTCCGAATTAGTCACAGACAAATTTTGCATTCATCTCCCTTCCTTGCATCTACCCTTGCAGAAACCAAAGGCTTTGGTCTATCAAAGTATTGAACACAATATGCAAGGTCATCCTAGGCAGGAAATCTCCTTGAACATGCTGTGTCCTATGAAATTGAGAGAAATCTTCTTTTTCAGTAGGTTTTTTCTCAGTGTGTCCCTGCTGTTGATTTTTACTACTAAATTTTGCAAAACCAGGGGCCAGATTTTGAAAACTAGGAATGAGATGCCACGCCTTAAATGCATCCTTACTAATACCTGTGAGCACACAAGCACATATATGTGTGCACAAGGCCTGCATATGTACTGAGTTAGTGAATATGCCTCGCACATTCTTAATAATTTTTCTTTTCCACGTACTTTATTTCCAAGTCTGAATTGCAGTTGCTTTTCTCCCCGAAGACTTACTTCAATGTATGTAACTCCCATTTCAATTCGTTGTTTTAGTAGTATCATACTGAAGTTTTAAGACTGGTATATTGTTTTAGGGTTTCTCATGGCTGCTGCACTGCAAACTCTGTTATTGCAGGTTATTTGATTGATTGTTTTTGTTTTCTCCTTACAAACTGGCTAACAAAATAATGTGGCTGGAAGGAGTTCTGCCTCTGTCTAAAAATTTGCAGGACCAATCTTGAGCAATTAGCAAGAGTATTTAAAATGTTAATGTTCTAATTTTATGCACATACAATGGGATGTTTTTTTCTCCTGAAATTGTTCTTATTTTTTAAGAGCTCAGCAAATTAGACACATAGTCTTTCATGGACACAGGATGCCAGAGCCCTCACTTATAACCAGAGCCCCCGGCTTCCCCCAGGAATTAATTTTCTCAACAAATCATTGTGTCACATTGAGAAATAAAACTGGCTTGGGTGGGGGTTGTATAAGGCTTTGATGGCTATACCATGGACTGGATTGCTCTGAAACAGAGCAGCAGTGGTGAGGCCACGCTCGCCAGTGAGCTGCAGAAGCTGGGGCTGCCCTTGATTCTTCTTACCCCTCTCTCCCATCCCTCTGCCTTACACAAACCCTCATGAGCTGGTTTTAATATGAGCCCCAGACCAACCCTGCTTTCCCCTGCCCCTCCTGATGCTCAACCTTGACTGATTTTTAAGTTGGTTTTCAATGAGGAAGTGGGCCACTGTCTGTGTGTCGTCCCAAACCCCCGTGCCATTTCTTGCCTGGTTTTCTTTCCTAGAGCAAGCAGAGCAGTGAGTCGGCCGTGAGCAGCACCGTCAATCCAGTAATTAACAAACGCAGCAAAGTCAAGACTGAAGTTGAGGGCTTGCCCCCAGTGTCCCCAAACACACAGGTAACCTCCCTGCTGTGAGCCATGTTGTGGGGTTGAGGTGGTGAGCTGCTGGGTCTCATCTTTGGGAATGATCCTCTTGGCATCTTTTGTTGTAGCTGGGTTGCTCCAGCAAAATCTGCCAGGCAGGCAAGTGTCTCTTGGAGCACAAAGCCCAGGAAGGGACAGGGCAGAGCTGCAGTGACTTGAGTGAAGCATTCCATGGGTACTTGGGACTCAGCTTGCTGTTGCTGTGCTTGGATAGGAAAAAAAGGAGAGAGCAAATATATCAAGTGCAATAATGTAAAAATGATGTCTGAGTTTTCTGTGCTGCAAAGCAAGCAGTATTAGTGTCTCAGAGCGAACATAGATTATGAGGGAAACTTGCATGTAGGTAGAAAGCTTGCAAAAAAAAGGATGACTTCTTGATTCAACAAGGAATTGCTCCTAGAAACATCCTTTACACTGGTGACACAACATTTGACACCAAGAAGGGCCCAGAGGCCTTTGCTTTCTTTCTGAAGCCCTGTGATTGCAAACTGCTTAATGGCTGACAGTATCCATCTGACCGTCCTTTATCACAACTGTAAACTATCAGGAGTGCTCTGGGCACTTCATTTTCATGAAATATTAAGCCGTGTTATTGTCAAGCGAATGGAAGAGTTGATGACAAATTTCTCCTTCTGCCCTGGTTCAGGAGCAGGTCTCAGCATGATGCATGGGGACAGCAACGTGTGCAGTCATCAGGGGGCTGGTAAAATTGATGAAGATAGCATATCAGGGAAAGATAAACATGCTGTAGTCAGCACGATTAGGGCAAAGAGGCACCTCTCTGGAGCTTTGAGTTTAGGAGTGCATCTACACACTGCTGCAAAATCACATGCCCTGAAAAACCAATCTGGCCACCTCCTGGCCTAATAGGGCAATGTGTTTATTTCTTCCAGCAAATGAAAAAATATTTGAAAGCCATCATTTGCTTTCTCAAAGCATGTGTTAGTGGAGGAGCTGTGGGACAGACAGCTGCTTGCTCAATGGCTGCCATCCTCTGTGCACTGCTCCATGCAAAGCCATGTGCGCCCAGCTTGGGAGTGCTTGGATAGCGCCAGCCTGGCTCACCCCTGCAGCCCTGCTCCAGGGGTTTTATCCACTGGGCCTTAAAAACACTGAAATTGGCACTGAATGGAGCAGTTTAAAGTAATGCAATGAGATTTTATTAGAATAGCAAGGTGAAATTAGGGGTAGGAAAATGCATGCTGATCATCTAATAGTTCCTAATGAGGCAGTATGTGAAGTAATTCCCCAAGAGACGTGTAGGTTCCACATCTTGCAGTATTTCAGTATTGACTGGGAAATTACTAGAAGGCACCATATAAAAGCTCATTCTTGGCGAGGAGAACAGATTAAAAAACTGAATATAGTGGGTGTCTACTCTGGTCTAAGCAAGAAGAATTAATTAAATTTAGAAATTCCTTTTCTGCAGGAGACCGTGCTGAAAAGTTGTGTTACAGTCAGTTAGTAATTGACTGATCTACTTTTTGCTGACTATGAAGTTATCTATCCCCAAAAATGTGTATGTTTTGTTTTGGAAATGCTGCATTTGAAACACCTCATGTGAGTTGTGGTTTGGGTGTTTGCAATCCTTGGCAAGACAGTATCTCCCATGATGGCTTGTGCTGTAAAAAATACAATCAGACAAGATTTGTGGGACACAGTGAGGTACCAGGCATGAGGGACCTGAGTTACTGAACTTCTGCAGTGCCACAAGAGAGCTCCAGTACAGATTCAGACTAGCATTGGACTAGCTAGAAATGAAACAAGTCAATCATTTTCAACAAACTGAATTGTTACGGTTCTGTTTTTCCAACAGTAAGTATAAAAATTTTGGCAAAGTAAGATTTTTAGTAGAAAATTACAGTTGTCTGGGAACTGCACTTTGTACAGAGACAAACATTTTAAAAAATCAGTGTTTAAAGCTCAAACAAATAGGAGTGGCAGGGCAAAAAAAGCTGCTGTTTGAACTTTCTCAGACTATAGCTCTGCGCTCTGGTATAGTTTGAATCTCCAGAAGTCTTTCTGTAAATTACTACAGTTTCCTGTCCCAACAGCCACCTTGCAATATATATTTTTTTTTAATAAGAGTTAATTAAAACAAATCTCTTCTGTCTGAAGGTGTCCTGGAGGCAGGATGCTTTGTGCTAGGTAACAGTAGCATCTGGGAGGAAAGGGAATGAAGGGGGTCAAAACCTACAGAGTTTTGTCTTGCTAGATTCCCAAGCCAGTACTGGGTGCTGATGGCCTTGTCTGTAGTGCAGGTATTGACGCATGCAGAGTTGACAGTTGTCCTTACTCACATTTGTACTAACTATGTTGTATGTTGCACTGTTGTGTAGTTGCCCATGCTTTAATCCTAGCAGCCAGAACAAAAATCTTCTGCGCTTCATTTAGCACTGAGGAGCTGGCTAGACAGAGAAGTTAAGGAGAGAGCTCACAGTGTAGCCAGCATAAAAGTAACTCATTTATGAGTCCAAAGTCCCAGAAGCTCTGTTCTGCAACCTACTCTTCACTGGGTCTTGCTGAAGCTTTCCAAATTCCCTTCTCAGAGAACTGCTTTGAGAGCTCGACACTTTGTCCCTATGGAGCATTCTGCAGGCATAAATCTTTGGGTTAGGTATCATTTTCTCATCTACTGAGAGATGCAGAAAACAGGAACCCCCTGCCCAGCCCGTGTCAGGTGAGCGTGGGCTCTGGTCTCTGACTGCCCTGTGATTTCTTTATGCTCATGTTTCTCCACTGCGCCCAGATCAGTTGTTTTGCTCAAGTATAGAGTACAACCAAAGGTCAGAAGCCAGTTCTTTCCTTTTTTCAGTTTTTCCTGGGACTGCCCATGACCCAGCTGAATCCAGGCACTGCTTCAACAGTGACTTCGGGGTGTTTCATATTTTGTTGTCAGCTCTGATCCACTTCTGCCAAAATCCTGTAGCTCCTTATTTCACAGTAATTGTGGATGTTATGTAGCCACAACAAGCATGATTTTGTGATCAGTTGATACTTGCCCTGTAATCTATGAGTGATGGAGGAATTCAGATGAAAGAAGTTCACCTTATACAATGCACCGTTATGTGTTGCAGGAGCATCTGACAGACCTGAAAGAAGATCTTGATAAGGATGAATGTAAACAGGAGCCTGAGGTTATTTATGAGACTAACTGCCACTGGGAAGGGTGCACAAAGGAATATGACACTCAGGAGCAGCTCGTCCATGTGAGTAATGGTTGGGAGGAAACCCCAGCGATAAATTTGGGTTTCTGTGCACTTGTCCTCATTTTTTATCACTAGCTGCTGTACAGCCAGAGCTCACCCTGGGAGCTACTAAAGGTGCAAATCAGAGATACGGTGTGTAAACACTGCCAAAGCAGGTCGCTGCTCCCCGAGGAGTTCAGCTGAAAGAAGCCTCTCATAGATTATGTGATATTGCTCCCTTCTCAGCTGCTGAGGCTGCACTTTCAGTCTCCCTTGTGCATGGCCCAATGACAGAAGGCTCAGTGCAGAAGGCTGGATCAGAAAATGGGGAAAGGGGCTGAGCCCTTCCCACCGAGGTACACCAGCTATGCATCAGGGATCATCTATGCTGTACTCAGTCCTAGTCCAGCCTGGGAAAGCTTCTCTAATGCTGCTGTTAATGAGCTGTGGAGCCATATCACTTAGAGGCTGTTGACCTGCTCAGCTCGTCCCTCCCACAGAAACAGAGCACTTTCAGACTTTGGAGATATGCTCCAGTGTCTGAAGTACAGAAAGTGGGTTGATTTTCTAAAACTTGGGCAACAGGGCTTCCATAATCACAGTGATGTTCCCAAACCAGTGTCAGAAGTGCTCTCTGAAGGATCCCCAAACCAAGTCATTAATCAGATTTTCAGTTCTAATTAATTCCAAGAACCTTTTGTATGCTTTGCTTCATCTGGGTATCCACCACTTGGTTTCCTTTGGCTTCTGGGGTCAACAAATTCCTCATCCTCTGGGAAGTGCCTGTGAAATCAAACATGATCTGTGTCCAAGTCCCATTTTGCTTCCAGCCCAACACCCTCCCAGTCCTTATTTTGGGTCTGTGGTGCGAATCGTATTTCTTTGAAGCCAGCCCATATCTGCTGGGAATTCACCAGCCCAGCAGCCCTTATGCTTGCAGCAGAGTTTTGGATTAAACACATTTTGCAACAGGAGCTGCTACTTTTTCCTTTTCCTTCAGCCTTTAGATGCTTGTCTCAAACAGGCTCCCAGCTTGCCAGGGGCCACACATGTGCAGCACACATGTAGCCCCCTTCCTGAGGGCTTGTGCCAGCTTTCACCATTTTTTATATACCTTCATTTTGGATACATTTAGATGCCCCCAAATTGGCATCAGTCACCATTTGTCCATGTTCTGCACACAAACATTGTGCAGAGGGACTACACTCTAAATTATAATTTTGGGCACATGTTCTTCTTCCATCTAAGGCAAGTGCCTGCCCATCTCTGCCAGAAGCCACTGGTTCAGTGCGTCAAGTCCTTGAGTACAGACAGATTTGGAAACAGTTTTCAAGGCCAGTTGAGCGATAAGGTGCTTAATGGGTTGCACATTGCATGCCATGGGGCATTGCTTTTTGGGGTTAAACCACAGCATGCCTGTCAGATGGGCTGGGCTCACACGTGTCCAGCAGTTTTTGTGTGTTTCCCTCTCAGATGTACAAAAAACTAACTCTGCCCAGAGTAAAGTGCAGAGCACCAGGCAGCTCAGCACAATTCCAGGGAAAAAAAAAAAAACAAAAAAAAAAAACCATTTGATGAAATATCCCAAGATTTTTCTAAATTTGGAAGGTTACAAAAATTGAGTCTTCTGTACTGTGATTACTAGCAACATGGGGTTGTGGATTTGGGATGCCCAAAATACACAGGCAAATGAAATACAGATGTCATGGGCCAGCTTCTGAGAAGGTGCAATCTCACCATGTGTGGAAAAACTCTAGTTTGTGTGCAGAGCAAAGTACATGGGTGAGCAGGGCCTGTTCCTCATACACAGTATGCTTGTGGGAGAAGTGCATGTCAACAGGGAGCAGCAGCAGTGATGACATATTTTTGCAAACATTGCTGCTGTTCCCAACCTCAAAGGTCACACTCAATTTGAGAGAAGCCCAAGCAAAGCCTTCAGCCAGGTAGGGGCTAAGGAGCTGTAGCTGAAGTGGGGTGAGCTGTGCAACTCCTCCTACACCATGTGATGGGAAGCAGATGTTGCCTAGACAGGGGGTGAATAGTGCTGAATGGGGGTTACAGTTCCCTTTCTGTAAATGTTCTTCCTCTGGCTCAAACAAGACAAAAAGGGTAAGCCTGTGCTCTCCCACACTCCCAGCATTGCTGTGCATAGTCTTGGTTGCAAGTTAGACTCCCACACGAGCAGAGCCTGGAGATGTATCTCCCCAGTCTGGTCTGGACATGGTTTAGCATGTCCATGGGTGTCTGGGAAGGTTCATCAGATTTCCACCATCTGAGGCTAAAATCTGTTGTTGTAAAACCAGAACTGTAGGCAGCAGGACTCTAAACCCATACAAAACCGCTCCCAAATCCAGGCTCCCCCAGCTCTCCCCACATACCTCCTCTTGTCTCTGGGTAGTACTGGGACCCCAGGCAACAGGACCCTGACCCCAGGATTGGACTGCAGCACACAGAACCCTGAGACTGGATTCAGCTGGAACTGTGAAGGCTGATGAATCTGTTTTAATGTACTTTTGTGTCCTCGTGCTGCCTCACTGCCCCAAGAGAGTCTCATCCCTAGCTGCAACATGTGTGTCTGGCCTTAGCCGGGGGATGAAGGCGGGGGCTGGAAAAGATCTCAGCACAAAAAAAGTCAAAACCCAAAACCAAAGTGGTTTATTTTAGGATTTCCTGTCAGTGAATATCTTCTGAAAACACAGGAGCGAGGACAGGCATTATTTTTGGCAATGAGACCCCATTCAGAGAGACAAGGCCGCCGCGGGAATGGCGCTGCCGACGGGCTGGCCCCTGGCTCTGTTTATTTTTGGCAGGGCTTCATCTGCCCTGCACTGGGAAAAAACAGCCCACTTCTCCATACCAGGGTGGATGAAGGCACCATTCTGGATCTGGCTTTTCAACACTCCAGCACAGTGTTTCATGGGCCTGAGTAATTAGCAGTAATGGAGCTCTCCCTGCTGCATAGCTCTTAGATGCTGTCATTTCCTGCCAGCCACCAGCTCTGGAAGGCAGGTGGATGTCATGGGGCCAGCATATGGACTTAGATGCATAGGATCATTTAGGTTGGAAACAACCTTTAAGATTATTGAATCCAACCAAGGCTTCTCTCCTGTCCGTCATCCTCCAGCAGCATGCCAGGAAGGGGTCTCAATTGTGTAAATGCAGCACAGGAGGGTTCACAGAAACAAAAATTACTCTGTCATCCCTGTCAAGAGTGGCATCAAGCAGCTGGGGGCACACTGAGAGGGCTCCCTTCTCCCAAAAGCTCCATTGCTTTTGCAAACCTCCCATTTTTAGCCTGCTTTGTACCCAGTGTGCTGGGTGCTGCACACCTTTGTGTGCAGGACACACCAGATGACAGTGCTGGGTCCACGTCCCTGGTGTCACCTGTGCACCTGGCACCCAGGTGCTGCAGTGCCTGACAAGCACTGGGGAGGGAACATGTGGCTCTTGGAGCACTGTGCATGATTCACTGGCATCAGCTCTTCCAGGAGTGACCTGGTTTTCCTTTCTCTCCTACCAGCACATCAACAACGATCACATCCACGGGGAGAAGAAGGAGTTTGTCTGCCGCTGGCAGGACTGCACACGGGAGCAGAAGCCCTTCAAGGCTCAGTACATGTTGGTGGTGCACATGCGAAGGCACACGGGAGAGAAGCCACACAAGTGCACGGTGAGCTGGCAGGGCACATCTCACTTGGCAAGTGGGACACCAGGCTGGGGTGGTCACAAAAATGTGGTTGCAGACATGGGCATGGCTTCAGGTAGGGCTCTGCCAGGCCAGCCACTGGCAGTGGCTCAGAGCCAGTCCATCTGTGTCTGGGTTACAGCTACTTACTTGCAGGTTAGACCCTGGGGCCAAGAGGACAAGAGGTTGAGGAGTGTGGTTGAGGTTTTAGTGGGCAAAACTGCTTTTCCTTGGGAAGAGCTATCTCAGAACTACCACAGAGATCCAAAGCAACTCAGGACAAATCACTTAAGGTGAAAATCCAGCCAATTTACTTGCCTACATCCAAGAAAGAAATCCAGTAATGCCACACTGTGGGGAGCCGCCTACCCCTGGTTGTGTCTAACCTGGCATCATCCACTACAGCTGCTGGGAATGCAAGATTCCCTCATCCACAGACCCAAGCATGCCCACATGCCTCTTTCTAGCCTGGGAATCTAGGCTAACACCTCCTGCCTCTGCTCTCCTAATGCAGAGATGAGGTTAAGCCATAGGTACTTAAACCCCAAGAAGGGCTCAGTCCCCCGACCTTCTGCATACCAGCAGCACTGTGTCTAGAGTTCAACTGCTTGAGGGAGAGTGTGGGGTACTGTTTTGTATCTCAGCCCTGTGGGTGCAGGCTCACTGACCACATGGGAGAGCTGGGCTCTCCTCCTCCTTTGCCTCAAGATACAAAATCCCATATGTGCCTTCACAGTTGGAGCCTCTCACCACACTGCTTGTGGATATAGGGCAGCCAAGGATGCCTGATGCAAGGCACAAGAGGGGGGCACAGTTATGGAGTTCAGTGACTGTGGTCAGCTGTTGGGAGAGGTGTTCACAATCTCCTTCCTCATCTCCTCCAGCCTTTATTCCTCCCAAAGGTCTTTTCCTCCCTGTCTTTTGTTATCCTCTGCTCTCTGCCTTCTCCTCCTGATGGCATTTTGTACCTCCTCTGTGGTCAGCATTGCACTGTTTCTCTCCCCAGAGTCTTGGGGATGAGTCTCTCCCTCTTCAGCAAATGTCTGAGCCCTCCTCTCATATCTGCCTCCTCTTCTGCTCCATTAGCCAATTCCAGCCCTGCTTGCTCCCTGGCTCTGCCCCAGCTCCTGCTTACAAATATTAGGATATGTATGATTTGCTTGCTGCATGACTCCTTTATCAATCTTCCAGCCTTGTGTTCATTTAATTTAGAGCATAAGCTCCCCCGGGGCACAGGGCCATGTCCTTTGTTTTAATCTTCTAAAGCACTTTGCCCAGTCTAGTGCTTTACCAATCTTCCTTAAAAGTATCAAGAAATATTGATTGTTGGTGCATACAAAGTGAGCACTGAGGGCAAGTCTAGCCTGCCCTTGTAGGCAGAGGGACTCAGGAGACAAAAACAGCATTGGCTGAATCCTCTTTAGTGCTGTGGTCAAGCAGGGAAAAACACTGCTGCACAGTCCTGCCTCAGTTTGGTCACACTGGGGCAATGGCAAGGCTGTGTTTGAGTCTCAAGTCATCCTCTGCCTCCTGGAGAACTGCAGGCCCTCCATGTGCAGTATGTTGCAGCAACTGTCCCCAAACTGGAGAACCACCAGTTCCAGATGTCTGGGATAATGGCAGTTCTGCAGACGGTGCCCTTCTGTGGCAGAGCATTCCTTGTCCAAGTCTGGCAGTGATTTTTCAAAGCAACATTGGTTTCAGACAAGAAGTTTGTGGTGTACATAAAGCTACAGATGAGCCCGGTTGCAGCCTGGGATTTGGTCAAGGATTATTCAACAGATGACAGCTAGAACTCCCACTGGCATAATCAAATCCACACATAAGAGTGGGAACAACTGCTTTGAACATGCACAGGCTGCTTTGCTGTGAAGCTTTTATTTGAAAATATGGCCTTAGAACTTTTGCTCTTAATAACTGCATTTTTGTGTCAGTATCCAGCAAAACTAGAATGGACGCATGAGTTGTCTCATGCTGAGTTCCCTTTGTTTTCCAGCAAGAGGAATGATGTATTTCAGTAACTGTAAGTGACTTGAGTTGTAAAGGATTGTTTGTACAGGGCAAGAGAAGAAAGAGATATACTGTGCTACCTCAGAGCTGTGGCATATTCTGTGGGACAAATGGGCTAATGAAAGTTGTCTGAGGAAGAAAAACTGGATCCATCCTGCCCTGCAAAAGCTGTGGAAGGAATCAGCTGTTGCAAGATGCTCCTACTGGTCCTTGAAGAGATGTGAATATCTCAAGAGCAGAGCAAATCTGCCTTTGCTGGACCTTAAAGGGGATCTTAAGTAAACCTTCTTTGCCAATACAACAAAGTTCATGGGATCAGCCTGTGCCTACCTGCTTCATGGGTTTCATGGGCTGCATGTTTGCCTCCCTGCCTAGCAGTCCCTCAGGTGCTGTGCATGTGGAGCCCAAGGCAGCAGGAGCTGTTGCTACTGAATGCAGGTGCCTTTGGCCAGACCTTTGGATGTGTAGAACCACTCAGCTGCCCATGGGAAAATCAGACATGGAGCATGACCTGCTGTGGCTCCAGTTTCTTCACTGGCAAAGACTCAAACAGAGTAATGTGAAGTCTTGTCACAACTGGACTGAACTTGTAGACATGTTCAAGTGATGTGACTAGAATACAACACATACATTACAGCAGCAGGGGCTGCTTACTGAAATTTAAAGGGTGTTTTTTGTATAGGAAGTACAGTCTGGGCTTTTCAGTGCTCCCAGATGAACAGGCAGTGCAACATTTAGCTAGAATTTGCAAGGGAGCCTTGCATTTCTTAAAACCTCCCACTTGTTTTGTCAAAGCACTTTAGAGACTCGTTGGTTGGAGGTAAAATCCTCCCATGCTGAGACAGGGCAGGTGCAGGGAGAACCTCCAGCCCAGCCAGAATGGAGGGTGGCAGGACTTTAATCACCCGAAGCCTCACCACGTCTCCCAAGCTGCTCCTTCTCATTGTGTGGGCAGCTGGTTTCCTTCCAGGAGGAAGGTTCCTGGCCTGTTTTGTCATCCAAAAATCCATCTGTCTTCAAGATTTAGAGTCTTGTTTTTTAAACTGGTAATGTCAGACAGCCTGACCACAGCATCCTCCAAGAGTAAACCCAAGCTGTAATTTGGGAAACTTTAAAGCTTGCTAGATTTCTGTTTGTGTGTTAGGGAACTGTCTGCTCTTTCCAGTGTTGGTGCTAGTGAAGTTGCAATGCTGGTCAGACCGTGGAGAAGCTGTCAGTTCCCTAGGTGGGAAGGAGGGGGCCCCTGTTTCTGAGTGTTTCAGATGCAGAGGAGTGGCACGAGGGGCTAAGAGAGCTCTGGGAGGAGTGGAGAGGTGTTTAGCACTGCTGGAAAAAAAGAGTCACTTGTTGAAATGTCAGGTGGGTACGCAACAAGGAGTAGCACCTCAAATATGACTCACTGCTGAAACTCTCAGCCTGCCTAGGGAAGCAAATTCTCCTAACAAAGTGGATGTTGTTCCCTAAAACACAAGCCCTTTAAAAAGAAGGAAAAAAAGAAAGAATGAGAAACAGATTGGAAAGGTTTAGGCAGGGGGAAAATCAAATTTTTCTGGTTAATTAATCACTCCTCATGTGGTTTTTTTATTTTAGTTTGAGGGTTGTTCCAAAGCCTATTCCCGCCTGGAGAACTTAAAGACACACCTGAGGTCCCACACTGGAGAAAAACCTTATGTCTGTGAACACGAAGGCTGCAATAAAGCCTTTTCCAATGCCTCGGACAGAGCCAAGCACCAGAACAGGACACATTCCAATGAGGTAAGCCTGGGCTCACCACAGCTCAACTGAGGGCTTTTTTTAAATTTTGCTGACAATAAACATACACTTTACACACTGGACGCATGTAAAAAGAAACCTTCTGTAATGAGAGGTTTATCTTATTTTTTAATGGGATTTATTTTTGCTGGGGAGCCAGACCACATTAGCTTTATATTTATGAAAGCTGTGTTTGAAATCATAAACAGATGTTAAAGTATGCAAACTTTTTAATCGACTTTGGAAATGAAAACAAGCATTTTCCAAATACATAATTTTTAATAGCACAGATAGTATAGTACAGTTGTGCAAGTTTAATATTACTGTGGAGCAGACTTGCAGTAATATAACAGCTACCCTGGATCCTGATGCTCTGGAAATAATAGTGCCTCCATCATTTGATGTACAATGATAAAGCACAATGCAATGCTTTGTTAACCTTGGATAATTAAGACCCACTATTAGTAGTTGGGGAGCAGAGGAAATTGCCTTTATTGTAACGCATGTGATGGTCTGTTGCAATCAACCACGGCCGACGATTGAAATTTATATTACCACTAATTAGCTGACAGGGGAAGAAAAACAACACTCTAAACTTCTAATAGTGTTTTCAGCCATGAAGAATTCAGTCTGTAGCCTAATTTGCAACAGTTAAATATAGACTATTGGAGAATGGAACGCAGTTGCCACGGTTGACAGCCTTTTGAAGCGATGCTGTGTCTACAAAGGGCTTGTTGGGAGTATTTTTATCTCTGGAAGATATCAGTCAGTGATAACCAAAGCTCGGTAGGTTTCAGAGATTCTGTTTGAGTCAGAATAAGGACTCCGAATCTAGAATCCTCTTCCAGGCTGAGATGATGCTGAGATGGACCAATGAATGACTAGGATCCCAGGGTTGTTTGAACTGGTTTGGGTATGAACCCAAACATCAGGATTGTTCTCCACCAGCAAGACACAGGTTAAAATTAACCCATATCCACACTTAAACTGGATAGTTTGGAGTTGTTTTAAGGCTACACCAACCTTGAGGCCAGGAGGGACCAAAAACATAGGTTGCAGCCTCTCGTCCGCTTGGCGTCCTACATTCCCAGGGAGCAGTGTTTGACTATGTAATTTTTCTATGTTAAAGCTTCTTCCCCTGAAAGGTAGACAATTGTGGTTTAATATCACATTTTAGTTGTTGGAAATTGCTCATTCTCCAGCCCTGGATGCTTTTTCTGCCTTAATCCAGTGCTGGATCCGTTGTCCCATTCATTGTTGGTATTTCCACCTCTTAATTTTGCAGTGTTAAGCCACTCTCCGTATTCTTGCTCATAAGCTGAATAAATCAGTCAAGCCACTGAAGATTTACATTTTTGCAACATTGTTTCCTGCCTTTAAGGAAATTTGCATCTCCCTTGGATTCCTAAGGATTCTCATGTGAATGGATCATACTGTTGGTACAGCTTTTAGTGCTGGAAACTCACTCATCCCAGTTTGTGCACACTGACAGAATGTGAGCGACTTTTTTGCCTGTAGATCACTCAAGCTCAGATCCCTGGAGCTTTACCAGGAGCTTCACTAGGCAGGGCAGTTTCCCACCTGAGCCACCTAATGCCCCATGTGGAATTTTCATTTTGAATGTGTTAGTAAATGTAATTTCTCCAATGGGTTCAGATTCCCAAGTGATCCAGATCAGAAGATGTCTCCTCACTTCATCTGAGCAGAGCTTGAACACACTTGAAAGTCAGATCATTTGGGTTCCCCTTGTGCAAGAAGGTGAGGCTGTAGGGCAGGAGCATCCAGCTCCATGTCTCTTGTGGACCCTGATCTAAATATGCTGACACTTGGCACAAGCTGCTTTCAAACAACACAAATCAAAGACTCAGGTAACAGATAGAGATTTTATCCTCTGCAGTTGCTTCCCCTGAAGGACACCTACCCCTTCTCTGGTGTAGGAGCAGCACAGCCACTAGTGGAGGATCTGTACCAGACCAGCTGGCCCTGCCACAGGAACTGTAAGGCACTGCCGCTATTCAAATGATCTTACATTTTGCAGTCATGCTGATTCCTCAACTGCTGTTCAACCCTCCTTGATGCAGTACAGAAACACCCCAAGATTGTGGGAGATCTGTAGGCTGCATACAATGGCTCTCTGGGCCTTATTTTTGACACCCTCTTTTTGAGGATCACATAACATGATCCTTTACACCAGCTGGTATCCCTCACAGCAAAGCTCATCACACTGGGCAGCAGGCCCAGGCAAAGGTCCTGCATCCAGCTGTGGCCATGACCACTGGCTTAGCAAACTCTACCGAGACCTTGGCTCACAAAACCGCACAAATGCAAAGCAGAAGTTTGTGGCTGTGAATATTTCCCATTACCCATTGGTAACTCTATTGTGGTTTCTAGCTACCTTCTAAATATTTTCCTCTGCTTGTAGTGTTTACTTGGAATACACCAGTTTCAGAGTTAGTCATCCAAGTCTCCTCTAAGGGGGAAGTTCCCTGAGTTTGTCACTATCATTGTGTGACAGGACGTAGGTGTATGGTCCAAACATGCTGAAGTTCAGGGCTGGGGATGTGTTACCACACTGTCTTTGGTTTGATTGTTGAAATGTCATACACACTATATTTTAAACTTTCAGTGACTGTTTGAATCCCTTCAGGGGATACCTTCAAAGTTACACCTGGAAAAAGGGCTTTCATCCTGTGACCACTCTCCAGTGCATACACAGAGGAGTGCCTTGAGTTCATTGCCAGCCAAAGACTCAGAGTGACATTTTCAGTAACTCAAGCTGAACAAGGGTAAAACACATAAATCCAGTTCTGCTTTGTGTGTGGGGAGTTCTCCAGTTCTCTCACCCTAAGGAGTATTACCCTGTATGTGCATGAGCATAGGAGGGAGGCATCTGAGCCATCTAAACTCTTGACTTCACTAGGGTGAAGATGTCACTAGGTGTCAGAATCTGGATAACCCAGGGATAAATGAAGGCACAGCAGTGAATGGGCAGTTGTGCTTAGCTCAGTTGCAAGCGGTATGGCCTGATGAAGAGGACAATTGAATCCCCTTAGGGGGAGTGTCTGCTGTCTAAGCAACAGTGATCATGTTACCCTAATTTCTGCGGTCTGAAAAATCAGAACTGTTGAGCCTAAAGGATATTTATAAAAAGTCTTTGAGCTGTTGATCTACAGGATTTTTTCAGCACATGTCATGGGGATTCTGTTCTTTGTAATAAGTCTTAATAGCAGTAATACTACTTCTATAATGCTTGTCTAAAAGGCTGCATGATATTTTTAAACAAACTATTTTAATTTTTGTGCTTTGGTTTACCAGCTTTAAAATATATTTACCTCAGTGGGGTGCTACATGGATTTAGCTGGTTTGAATGATGTGCCAAGATCAGTCAGGAAGCTTTTGAATACAAAACAGACTTGCAGTGTTTTTCATCTGATGATGCTGGCTTTCTGCAAAGAATATATACTCCTTTGTATTTTTTCACTTAAGTTCATGCACAAAATTACAAAACAGATTTTTTAAAAAAATTAATAGGAATGGTCATTTTGGGTAGCCTTCAAATAACATCTGTCTGTTTTTTCTTATGGATCTATCATAGTGCATTGGCAGAAAAATACATAGAGTAGTTATGAGGCTAAAAGTGGAACTTGTGATGAATTCAGAACTTCCAGTGCAGCAGCACCAGCTCAAACAACTGCAGTGCTAATACACTTTGGAATTGGATACTCAGTAAAATAGAAGAATTTAAAAGAATAAAAATATCTGTTGCCGATTTTTGTTTTCAGAAGCATGGCTTCAGCCTTGTTTTCCTGTGGCAATCAATGATTCATGAGTTCAGGATAGAGTGCTGTCGTCTGAAAAAAACATTGCATGCCTGTGGTTTGTTTTGCACAATAGCAGATTTCAAGGTGGCAGGTGCTGGAGTGGTGTGATAGATTGAGTAGGGTGAATCCAGTCTGGCTTGAATTCACTGGACTTCCATCAGCCAAAAGGTTTCAGACATTTTCTTGGTGTAGACCCCACCTTAGTAGAGCAAATGTGTTATGCCCAGTCCACTACATCACCTCCTTCCCATCCTTAATCAGGAAACATTCCTGTGGCCACCCGAGCAAATACATACAGGGAAAGTAATACTAGGAAAGTATTTTGTGAATTCTTAGCTGTCTTTTGATCCAGAAACTGAAAACAAGAAGTTTAGCCAACATGAAATGACCAGCCAAGTCTGTGTGGATCAGCAGCAGCCCATATATCACATCTTCCATATCTCGGTCTTTACAGAGTCCTGTGGAGCAGATGCTCCGCGTTTTGCTGCTGCCTGCTGCTATGCTCATTGTATTTTCTTGGCCCATACACTGTACCTGGAATGTTTGGGCTTATTCTAAATATAACCAAAGATTTGTTTGCGTTGACAGAAACCCTACGTGTGTAAAATCCCCGGCTGCACGAAGCGGTACACGGACCCCAGTTCCCTCAGAAAACACGTCAAGACGGTGCACGGGCCCGACGCTCATGTCACAAAGAAGCAGCGCAATGACGTTCACCCGAGGCCACCTCCACTCAAGGAAAACGGGGACAATGAGGCCAGCGCCAAGCAGAGCAGCAAGGTGGCAGAGGAGAGCCCCGAGGCCAACAGCACTACAAGGAGCATGGAGGATTGCTTACAAGTCAAAACGATAAAAACAGAGAATTCTGTGGTAAGAGCAGTTGCTTTTGGCAGAAATGACGTGGTTCCTGATCTCTCTGATGCAGTAGGGGCATGAAGCATTTGTATTCATTTTACCTCTGTGGGCAGGTGCCCTTCAACCCTAGAGTTCAAGTCCAGAAATGAAACTGCAGGTCAGGGCACAGTCCACTACATTTTCTGCCTTCCTACCCAACATCATAAATTCCTGCCCTTGTAGTCACGGGGGCCATGTGATGCCCTCTCCTGAGGTTGGCATTCCTGTGCTATGAAAGTGGGTAAAACCCAAGAGTGTTGTGGTCAAATGAGCTTTACCTACCTCACCAGTTTAAATTGAGCAATGACCACAGGGCACAGATTGATGAATGCTTCTTGAAGCAAAGGTCCTGGCTTAAGCAGTCCCTTTTCTCCTCCTCCCTGCACCCTCCATTCCTTTTCTTTCTAGTCTGCTGCTGTTTGATGAAGCCAGTGGGGATAAAACTAGCTGTTCTATTTTTGTTGAGTATCTTAAAGCAAGTTCAATTCCTTGATCTTGTCCACCATACATAGAAGCACAAAATCCCTGGGGTTGTCAGGGACCTTGTGAGATCATCTAGTCCCACCTCCCTGATCAGCCGAGGTTGGCTAGAGCAGATTGCTCAGGAGTACAGAAATTCAGTACATGACTCCCAGCTGCCATAGAAAATTGTAGCGAGGTGATGGGGCAGGAGAGTGAAATTAGGAATAAACATGGGAGCAGTGCTGTTGCCCACAGAGTACAGACTGTCAGTCAGCCATGATCAAGCTTTACAGCTCCAGCACCTGAAGCAAAGACCATTTATCAGCTTTCCGTCCATTACAGCAGCTCCACAATTGGCAGTCGTGTGGTCAGTGGTACTAAAGAGCTGTGTAGAGTGGTGCTTTCAAACACATCAAACCTCTTCCACCCCGTTCAGGATGGAGGAGGAAATGGAGCATTGCAACACATGAATCACTTTTACCTTTTTATGTTTCTTTTCATTTTTGTACCCAAAGTTCTGGTCTGCTGCATCAGCTCAGAGTGGGACAGGGTATGGGCTGGATGCAGAAGAAAAGACCTTCACCTGCGAAGAAGTGTTCACATATTCCCCAGACTTCCTACTTGAGCTGAAAGGACTTTGAGCTCCAAAATATATATTTTCTTGATTTGAATCCAGGCTAAAAGATTGTTATTCCTGTGAAAAACATGCCCTGGAGCTACAAAGATTTTCTCAGAAGGGTTAGGGGATGTGTTGTTGGACAAATTACTAATGAGCAGAATGTTTCAGTTAAGAAAAATTTAGTATTTATACATCCAGCATGCCTCTAATTGACTAAAGAAACAGTTTCCTGTCATGAGGTTCTGTACAGTGTTACAAAAGCTGAGTGTGAGAACCACTGGACAGACTAACCTTTCTCCAATACTCTTCCTCCATGTGTTTTGTGGGTTTTTTCCTGTGAAAACACTGACACAATTACAGCTCCCCACCCTGCTTCTCTTGAAGGTGTGGGCTTGTTTTCCTAGCAGTCTGTACTCCCAAGGTTCCAGCTAAGCCATCTCACTGGCCGCAGGGCCCTGGGTCGTGTTTCTCTTCACTGTCCCTCTCTAGCACTGCGTGCTTCCCTTGTGCACATCTGACAAGTGGCATCTCATCTGGGGGGTCCACATCCATCTCCTGTTTGTGGTTAAGGTCAGGGTGGTGGGAGGGGTGAGATGCCTCACTGTTCCCATCATTCCCAGGCTCCTTGTTTTCACCCATATTTGTGTGTCACCCCAAATCCATGGAATCAGGTAGAAAGTCTCTCCTAGAAGCTTTTATTTGTGCCTCCGAAGAGGGAAGGCAGGGAAGATGGGGTATGGGAGTGGGGGATATGTTGGTAATTTGCGCTTTATTCTGCATTTCCTTCTTCCTCCTTTTACTAACCTGGTCCTTTTTGTTAATGCTGTCTTTGTCCTAACAACCTGTTCTTTATTCCCACTTACCCTTCCTTACTCTACCTTCCTAAGGACAGTCGGTACTAAGGTGAGCAAAGAAATCCTTTGTATTAAAATAGCTGTATAAAGCATGATGTCCTGCAGACCTCTGTCTCCATTTAACCCTTGCAGGGTGGAAGTGGAAGTATGTGGGCCAGTGGGGAGGGATAGGAGAAATTTTCTTGAGTGCAGAAAGGGGGAGGATGCAGTGCCCAAGCATTCCCTTTGCCACCTTTCTCCCAGCATCACAACCTGCCATTAAATATTGGGATTGCAATCTCTGTCATCTAGACGGAAGGGCAGTCAGAGCCAGTCAACCCTGCCCATGGTGGGGCTGCTAGGGAGCAAAGTAACAACACTGCAGCACTCCTCATTCCCACCTTGGTCCAGGGCAGAGTACTTTGCCTTTTCAGCACTCCCATTTTTGGCTGGAGCAAGGGCCTGGAGCAGAAAAGCCAGGCATCCTGTTTGGTAGCAGCAGCAGAGCAAGTTCAGACCACATAGTGTCTGCTGCAAATAAACTACTCAATGTGAGTAGTTTACATTCCTAATGTAAATAAAATAAATATTTGTGGTGCTTATCTGCCTTATCTGCAAGTGGGAGTTTGCAAACAGTGAGCCAGGTTTTTATCTGGCAGGGAAGTTTGTCAGCTAACATAATTATATGTTAGGGTTTATTAAAGGCAGAAATACGTTGTGTCTGAAATACTTAAACCTTGATCTCATGTTAGATAAGCCAGTGTTTGCTGCAATATATCTTGCAAAACCAGGTGACATGCTGCTTTTCTTTGAGAAACATCTGTCCTTCTTTTGGAGGAAGAGCATTTCGTTTCTCTCCATCTTGCAGTTGAATCACCATGGTTTTTCCAGCTGTGAGTGCTGTCCCATCCTCCTCTCACAGGGAGGAGGCATCTGCCTTTTGGAAAAGCTGGGATCCTGCAGCAGGGAGGGATAACAAGGCAGGGGAGAATCTAGGATAGGAGCTCTGTATCCTCCAGGACTAACACTGGAGATGTTGGGCTCCAGATTTCTTTCCATCCATGTTTTCACCTGCCCAACTCTTTTTCCTCTTTTCCCTCCCCAAGATGTGTCAGTCCAGTCCTGGTGGCCAGTCGTCATGCAGCAGTGAACCATCACCCCTTGGCAGCACCAACAACAATGACAGTGGAGTAGAAATGAACATGCACAGCGGGGGAAGTCTGGGAGATCTGACGGCGTTGGATGACAACGCTCCTGTCGTGGACTCAACGGTCTCGTCTGGTAACTCGGCAGTCAGCCTGCAGCTAAGGAAACACATGACGACGATGCAGCGACTTGAACAGCTCAAGAAAGAGAAACTCAAGACAGTTAAGGATTCCTGCTCATGGGTGAGCCCAGCTCCACAAGCCAGAAATACCAAGCTGCCTCCCATCTCAGGAAATGGTAAGCCCTGGGCCTGGACCATGTCCTGTAGGAACATTTCAGAGTTTGACTCTGGTTTCATAACCAAGAGTCTACCCTGGAGGAATGAAGATCATTCCTTATTGCCTCTGAGTCATGCTTTGATAGATAAAGATGTCAGGTACAATGGACAGCTTGGGTATAAACACAGCCATCTGGTGATGTGCAAGAGAAACCCAGGTGCTCATTTCTACAGACCTATGAAGGGAGACAGAGGTTTGGGTGTCCTTGTTTCTGAGCTTGCCCAGAACCCAGACACAGCTGTCCCCATTGTCTCAGTTACAGCTGCAAGACTGCTTGCATTTTTTTCTAGCAGTAAGATTTCCCCAAGGGCTAATATGCTTCCTGGGAGACCGCTGGAGCATAGCAAGAATCCAGACAAGACCTCCCTCCATAATCTTGCTCTGACAGAAGCTTTTTGTCACTCAGAAGCTCCTGGCTATTGCCTCCAGCTTCATATGCTTGTTTTCCACTGGCTGGTGGTTCCTGGTAAAAGTATCTTTTTGAACCTTCTAGAGGTCCTCTAACTTTGCCAAGAAACCCAAAGGCATAGTGTCTGGGTTATACTAGATATCAGAGCTTCTTGGGTTGCTCTTGGAAGAGCCTTTGAATGTCAGCCTTTGGAATGTCTTGGCCTGCTCTCCATGACTGCTGTGCATCTGACCCAGAGAGTAGCTGTGGTTATAGCTGTATGCTGTCCCTGTGGCACTGTTCACACCAGTCCTATCTTTGTCCTACTGAGGGAAGCCCACGTGGAGGCATTTCCTCAGAAGCTGAGTATAAGGGGTGTACATGTTATAAACACTCTGCAGCAGGGACTTCTTAACTTTTCTCTCCAGACTTCTTTCTCCCTTTGCATGAACATAGAGCTAGAAATGAAGCTTTGAATTTGCTAGCAGCACATGAAACTCATCATCACTCCCATGAAATACTTGGGGGTAGCTTTGTGGGTCAGTATTCTGGCACCTAGAACACTACAAAGTGAGATTTCTCAGCTAACTAAACCTTTTCCTTCCCTGCAACCTTTCTTTCAGGCTCTATTCTAGAAAACAGTGGTGGTTCTTCTGCTATGCTGCCTAACCCCAGAATAATGGAGCTGTCTGTCAACGAGGTTACAATGCTGAACCAACTCAACGAGCGCCGTGACAGTACAACAAGCACCGTCAGCTCTGCCTACACTGTCAGCCGCAGATCCTCGGGGATCTCCCCGTACTTCTCCAGCCGCCGTTCCAGCGAGGCTTCGCATCTCGGGCACCGCCCCAACAACACGAGCTCTGCTGACTCCTACGACCCGATTTCCACGGATGCCTCCCGCCGCTCGAGCGAGGCGAGCCAGTGCAGCGGGATGCCGGGGCTGCTGAACCTGACACCAGCTCAGCACTACAGGCTGAAAGCCAAGTACGCTGCTGCCACAGGGGGCCCTCCTCCGACTCCCCTGCCAAACATGGAGAGGATGACCCTGAAGAACAGGATCTCACTGATGGATGGACCAGACCCCACCTTGCCCTCCCTCCGCCTCCCACCAGGCCCCAGGCGTTGCAGCGATGGTAACACCTATGGCTACCCATCAGCTCCAGCATTTCCTCATGAGGTGCAGGGCAACTGCACAAGACGGGCAAGTGACCCTGTGAGGAGACCTCCTGGAGACCCCCAGGCTCCGCCACGAGTTCACCGCTTCAACAGCACCAACAGTGTGAACCCCTTCCATCCTCCACACCCCACTGACAGGAGGAATTTTGGTCTCCAGAGCTATGGGCGCTCAGATGGGAGCCTGCCCCGGCACTCCTACTCACCCCGGCCACTGAGCATCAGTGAAAACATCGCCATGGAAGCCATGTCTGGGGAGACAGACGTGCCCATTGGAGATGATGACATCGTGCTGCCAGATGATGTGGTACAGTACATCAAATCCCAGAACAATGGGACAGTGGCTGAGAGTACTTCCATGGGGTACAGCAATGAGATGCAGAACTTCCAAGGAAATGGGAAGCTGCAGCCTCCAGCCTTGCCCAGCCAGCGCAGGATGGCAGTGGCTGAGGCAAGCATGAGCCACTTGGGACCCATGATGGCAGAGTGTTCCATGAGTTTTGATACTTCTTCAGACATGAATAAAAATAACATGCCTGTCCAGTGGAATGAAGTCAGCTCGGGCACAGTTGATATCATGTCCAATCAGTCGAAGCAGCAGTTTTCACAAGGGAACTTAGCGGTGGTCCAGCAGAAGCAGAACTTTGGTCAGTACCAGAACTACAACCAGCAGCAGATGCAGCTGCCAGACAACAGCATGAATGCAACACAGCAGAGCTTTATGCAGAGAAACGTGGGCATGGATGGGCAGAGGCTAAACTGCATGCAGCTGCGGCAGCAGCACATGAGCCTAGGTCCCAGCATGAACCCCGACATGGGCTTGCACACAGGATATAACCAACCACATCAGATGCTGAGCCCCAGTGCAGTCAATGGCAATCCAAATCAGATCTCTCCTAATTGCAGCAACATGGCAGCAAAGTCTGGACCCCACCTTCACCCTCAGCAAATGGACATGGCAGCCAACCCTTCTTTGATGGTCAGGGGCAGCAGTGAGCGCGCAGCGCTGGGACAGGTCATGCACGAACCGAGTCAGCAGAACTACTCATCTCAGCCAAGCCACCTGAACTTCCCTGTGGCTCAGGAAACCTTTCCTCAGCCCATCATGACCTCCAATCAGCCGAGTTTTGAGCCTCAGCAGAGCGTGATGGGTTCAGCTGCGCAGGCATATCCGCCTGGCATGATCCAGCCTCATCCTCCACCGGAGCCAAACCCGGGCAGCAGACCCCGAGGGGTCCGCACCGCCCAGCAGCTGGGCTACATGAGAACTCCCCATCCTACGAACACCATCAGCCCCAGCCAGGAGACAGCGGAGGCCATGCACAAAAGAACCAGCGACATGTTGCTGGCACCAGCCCAGCAGTGCGCGGACGGCACGAGGGACAACAGCTTGATGTACTATTACGGCCAAATCCACATGTACGAACAGAACAACGGCTTCGATAACCACGCGGACTGTCGGGTCAGGCAGCAGCAGTGCACACAAAACAGCAAGCCAGCCACTCTGCCTTCCCCAGGAACAAACCAGGTGTCCAGCACAGTGGACTCTCAAGGTCTTGAGCCGCCCCAGATAGATTTTGATGCCATCATGGACGATGGGGACCATTCGAGCCTGATGTCGGGAACCCTGAGCCCCAGCATCCTGCAGAACCTCTCCCAGAACTCCTCTCGCCTGACGACTCCACGAAACTCTCTGACACTGCCCACCATACCTGCGGGGATAAGCAATATGGCAATAGGTGATATGAGCTCCATGCTAACCACGCTGGCAGAAGAGAGTAAATTTCTAAACATGATGTCGTAACAGTAAAGCACAAGGCCTTGGTGCTATCCAAGGGGCTCTGCGTGAAGCAGTTGTATGAATGTGCTTTTCAAAAATAATCTGTTTCAATAGGGTAGGGTTTTTTATAAGTGTTAAATACATTAAAGGATTTCAAAATGAAAATTTTAAAAAGTCTGTGTACAGAATTATGTAAACTATATGCAGGCAGTTCAGTACCACAAGGGTGCACCTCTAGTATTATTTTTTTAGCTTGGTTTCCCGGAGCACTGAACGGTATCACCACCAAGCTAGGAGACAGCATGAGGGTGGTTAGAGATGAAACCCTCCCTTCTGGGAAGCCCTGTAAATAGCCCTCCTCATCATTTTTCCGTTAGTTTCATTTGCAAAAGAATTCCGTTTTCAACCCACCCCAGAAAGAAATGGGAGGATGCGGTTTTGGTTAGAATAAAAGCCATACTATGTATTCTGCTCTGATGAGAGTAGGGTTTAGTTACGTCTCCAAACAAGCCCTCTGCCAGCAGTATTGTTTTATACCATAAATACCTTTGTACCTTGCAAAGAGCGACGTTTCCAAATGGCTTCTCAGCAAAGTGCCTTACCATGCTTTCTTGTTAAGTAGCCAAGGCCTCTCTTCCTTTAAAAATCAAATATAGTGTATTGTCAGAAGCGTATATAAAATGTACATTTATAAAAACATAGTGGTGTTTCTGAGAAAACATTGGAAAGACACATTGATGAGACACATAAAAGGTGAATGCACACTTTGATCAGATGTGTTTACAACGTGGTTTATATCATGTGCAGAGTGGAGCAGAGGTCTGGGAACAGCAATCACTGGGAAATAATCCCCCGTGGCAGGAAGGCTCTGGCATGCAGACTGACACACATGCATAACTTTGCACCTTCTGAACACAGTGACTTTCTGCAAGTGCCCCGCATGCATCTCTAATGTCAGAGTGCTGGAGCACACATTTCTGGATCCCTGTGCAGCTTTGCAGCAGCTTTGCTCTCTGGTGGGTTTTCCATGCTGAGGTGTTCACATAAACAAGTGATGGTGATGGAGAGACTTTTATGCTTGTTCCAGCCCAGTGTGTGCACTGTGGCAGCACTGGGGGAACAGGGTAATCTGCCAGGGTTCATCTGTGTGATGTGCTCAATGCAGGGTTCTGCCCGGGCTCCATCTGCCCAGCAGTTGCCTTGCTGCGCTGATGTGGGGCCAAGCATAAGCCAAAACACCTTGCCCCACAAGCAGGCTTGTTGGCACGCACCCAGTGCTAGCTTAACATGTCCCACAGCATGAAAAAAAACTGCTGCATCCAAAAAATACACCACAGTAAACCTGAGTAGTTCATTTGACTAGCAGACTGCACCTGCAGCCTGCAGCACCTGCACTAGCAGACTGCACCTGCAGCACTAAACGTGTATAGTCTCAAAACAGTATTTGAGTCAGAATAGTAGCTTGGTCAGTGAGAATCTCTTGGAATCATCACTGGAAAAGAGGTGGGAGGAGCAGGGCCTCCTGAAGTCACATTCTCCACCAGAATATAACTGCTCATAATAGTGATCAGCTGTTTCCAAGACAGTCCCACCTGCCAGTAAGTTGATCTTTGTTGCATTATTTATTTTTGCTGTCGTTAGACAAAAGGGTAGAAGCAGTGGGGTGCATGTATTTGGGAGGAGGCCTTGCTTAACTTCAGACTGCGTTGGACAAGGACAACTCCTCTCATCCTGCTCTCATAGCCTCAAATACTTATTACCCCATACATTGAAGAGCAGGGAACAAGTGTGACATTCCCCCCAGGTTTTTACAGCTGGACTGAGTAAGCATCTGTAGAGCTTCACTCTTTCCTTCCCATCTCCCTGTCATGTCATTGTCATGTTCTCATTTGCACCTACTCTGTCCCCTGCACATGACCAGGACAGCTCTAGAAAGGTGTTTTCTGGTGTCTTTGCTTTCCTTTTGCACAAACTGATGTCAGGATCACTCCTCCCAGTATCACCAGGGGCTGACATGAAAAGGCCACATGCTACCTCCAGGCAAACTCTGTGATATCAGGAAGGCAGGAGCTGTGCTTGGCAGTGGTGGATTGGGAGAGCTTTGCTGCCAGGTATCCCTGGGTACAGCTGGTGCAGGGAGGTGCTGCTCAGCATCCTGCAGTCTCATCATCCTCATCCCAAATGCAGAGGGTGCACACTGGCTGCTCTCAGCCCTGCCCTTCACCCCCCAATGATTCCTGCTGATGTCCAGGGTGCATGAGGACAGGGAAGCAAAGCAAGGTGCCTGGCTGTTTATTTGTGTCTCCTGTGAAAGTTGTGTTTAAAGGGATTGTTTTATAGTCTGCTGTATATATTCTCCTGCAGTTACTGACCTTGCCCTTGCCTTCGCATTTATGAAAAGAGGGCAGTACATGTTTTTAGGACATTGTGTGTTGTCCTGGACACTTGGAGTACAACTGGGCATCCCTTATGCTGAGATGGATCAGGCTTTCATGTGTCCTTTGATTGCTAATGACTTTTTTAACAGCTGCATAGGGCAGCAATGGCTCCCGAGTCCCTCCTCACAGATATCTCATTAGCAAAAGTTCAGATACAGAAGCAAAACCAAATCTCCAATGACTTGAGATTTTTTTGGACTTTCCAGTGGTGGTCTTCCTTCATTTACTGAAAAAGTATTATAATAATCTTTCCAGCACTGTACATATTATGTATAGAAGACATCATTACTAAAAGTACTGTAGGTGAATTGTTCGGTCAAATTTATATCCTAAGAACATTTTTAGCTGTTTTCTACATCATAAGAATGGAGGTAACATGCTGAACCTGTATATAAACCTTTTGTACATTAAAAAATAATTTTTTTTCATAATTCATTGTGTCTTGTTATTTCTTTTTATTGGCTAATGTTGTTCGGTTTTGGTGTGTTGTTTCCACACCAACACTGTCAGTTTGACTCTGGTGGTGCTTAGGAACAGTTGGTGAGGAGCTGGCAGGGCATGTGTGATACAGCACAGATGTGCAATGGTCTTGCCTTGAAGAGCTTCTACTTAACAGTGAGCTGGAGGTGGCAGAAAGAGGCAGCAAGGTGAGTGTGTGCGGTGAGCACATTCCTGCTGCCCAGGTGTCTTTCACTGCCTCTTGGCAGGGGTGATTTGAAGTACAGTGGCAGTGTAGCAGGGATTGTACAGGAGCAGGGCTCAGAGCAAGGGCTGGACTAATTTGTCAACCAGAAGATTTATGATAAAAATGGCCTGTTGACTGACTTGGTCGTTGTCCAAAAGGAGACAGAAAATAGGACAGATTAGCGGAGCTGTGATGGGCCATGACAGTGGCAAATTGAATATTGGGTTTGGAGAAAGGAGAAATTAATCTGTGCATTATGTATGTGATGGGAAGCAATTATTGGGTGAGCAACTGATAGATACATCAGTTGTGACTAGTTAGAGTCTCATCCAGCTCCTTGATGAGAAAGATTTAATTTGGCTGCAGCAAGAGTTAGCTCAGCTACTCAAGAGACTGACTTTCAACTTGTTTTTGTAGAGGTGGGTTGGTGTGCACAGGGTTAGAGCCTTAAGGGAGGGTGAGGAGGCTCACAGGTGATCCTCGTGGGCACAGCAACGAGCTTGGAATGAAAACTGCTGAGCAAAGCAGCTGGCCAGTGAATCAGTGAAATACACTTGGTAAATGAACCAGCAGTTTCATGCAGAAGCAACTGAAGGGGATGCACTCCTTTTCCTCTCTGTGGGATCCCTCCTGAGCTGATTGGCAGAATCAGGTACCTATGGGACAAATCCTCACCCTGTCTTCAGGATTCCTGTATATGGGATGAGCCCTCTGGGTTCCTTCAAAGTCCATCATGGCAAGAGATTGGCACATCCCTCTTGTGAAATTCATCTTTTCTGTTTTAGACACATGGAACGGGGTGGACTTTATCTCTAAAAGACGTATCACTCTCCTCATTGATTACAGAGAGACCCCAAGGAGCCATCTTAGATGCGTTCTCCAGTGGGGCAAGGTGAACCTTGTACTCCTGTGGCTCTCTTACACCAATCTGGTCATCCTCAGCATGATCTGGGTTTGAATCAGTGGAAGTGTTAGCAATCCTGTTAGCCTGTTATTTATTGGATAAATATCACACCTCTCTATACTGTCCATGAACTACAGAAATCACAATAAAAATGCGGTCATTTTATTAAACGGAAAATTGTTCAGATCTTTTCTATTGACAAAAGGTTTTGGAGACTCAGATCAGCTCCTACTGCTTTTCTACTTCAAACACTTAAAGTAGGTTTCTAATCTAGATCAAATGATGCTTTTAGCTGGTGTTTCTCTTCAGAGTTCAATCGGGGCACACCTCTGCCAGTGTGAGAACATATTTATTACTTAAACTGGGCTAAGATTTCCTAGGAGTCCACCTGAGGTCATGTACCAGCATGTGCATTTTTACTGCTTTACCATCCTGGAATAAACAAGGAATGAAAGGCTTACTGCTCCAATTGTAAGCAGGTAATAACCCTTCTGCAGCAAATGTTGTTTATAAGCCAGAGCTTGGAGTTTATACTACTGTGGCAGCTGCATAATATTCAATTAACCTTCTTTTTAATCAATCGTATCCCTTATGGAAACAAACCATCCTAACAGATCTGATTCTGACCTTCTTTGTTGAGTGTTAACCTCACTCCACTCCCAAAACCAGTGGGAGCATAGGAAGAGTGAGATCCCACTCTGGGTAAAACCATCACAGCTCTTTAATATTGCACTAATATCTCAGGTTTTCCTGGAGGGGAGAAAAAAGCCCATAAAAGCTACTGTTGCTGGATCTGATTGCACTTACTGAGTACAGAATCATTCCAGCAGCTCTTTATTGCAGTGGTCTCTGTGGGGATGACATAGGGGCTCTTGTTCTTTACGAGCTGTTGGATCTACTTGGAAGCGCATACGTGTGGTAAACAAATGGTGTGTTTTATGTTATTGGAAGGACAATTTATGACCAACCAAGGCCTCTTGCAGACAGCCATTTAACT